ATGCCGCCCTTCTCCGGAGACTCAGGGCGGCTTACAATGCGTTAAGCAATAGCCTTCATACTTTTGTATATTTTATACAAAGTCAGCTTATTGCCCCCACTCCCATCTCCTTGGAGAGATTCGAACCAGCAGAAATTGCAGGCAGCTGTGTTAATGACAGGGTGCACCAAACCACTGTACTATCAAGGCTCTTTATATTTATATTCCTTGCAATGACCAAATGACCACAAGAAATATAAATGGGGGTGAAATGTAAAATGTGTTACTACCGGTTCTGTGGGCGTGGCTTGGGGGGGGAATGAGGAGCCTGGTTTAGCTCAACAGACAGAAGCACTGCAATTTAAGACCAGCTGTCTGCAATTAAAGTAAGATCGAATCTCGCCAGGCTCAAGGTTGACTCAGCCTTCCATCCTTTCTAAGGTAGGTAAATTGAGGACCCAGTTTGTGGGGGCAATAAGCTGACTTTGTATAAATATACAAAAGTATGAAGGCTATTGCTTAACGCACTGTAAGCCACCCTGAGTCTCTGGAGAAGGGCGGCATATAAATCAAATTTTTTTAAAAAATGTGACTGGGTAGGCGTGGCCAACTTTTTTTTTTTTAACTTTTCAAAGCATTTTTTCTAATGCTTTGAAAAGCCTCTGGCGATCAGGCAACTCAGCTGGGATTGTCAGAGAGGCTTTTTAAAAACTGCTTTGAAAAGCCTCTCTGCTGATTAGGCAACTCAGCTGGGATCATCAGAGACTTTTCAAAGCATTTTTTTTTACACCTTTTCGGCCAAGAGGTTGCAGAAAAAATGCTTTGAAAAGCCTCTGAGGATCCCAGCTGAGCCGCGCAATCATTGGAGCCTTTTTTTTTTTTACTTTTAAAGGCATTTTTTCGTCGGAAGAGGTTGTAGAAAAAATGCTTTTAAAAGAAAAAAAAAAGCCTCTGATGATCGTGCGACTCAGCTGAGCATGGTGGGGAGGCGCAGGGATTTTTGCTACCGGTTCTCCGAACCACCCGCCGCCATCGCTACCGGATCGGTGATCCGGTCCGAACCAGGAACATTTCACCCCTGATAAAAATCCTTCCATTCTCCACCATTCAGTCAGAACTGAAGAAGCTTGGAGAGGCTCCAAATAGCAATAGCACTTAGACTTATATACTGCTTCACAGTGCTTTACAGCACACTCTAAGAAGTTTACAGAATCAGCCTATTTTCCCCAACAATCGGGGTCCTCATTTTACCGACCTCAGAAGGATGGAAGGCTGAGTCAACCTTGAGCCCCATCAGGATCAAACACCTTGCAGTGGGCAGAGTCAGCCTACAATACTGCAATGTAACCGCTATCCCGCCATGGCTCATAGCTTCATGGAGCTATGAAGAATCACAGAGATCAGAGACAAAACTAGTACTGCAAACAAGACAGAGCTAACAGGATAATGACAAACCTGCATGATATCTGAAATGGCTTAACCTTTTCCACTAGGATAAAATGGTGATGGGAAAGATCTTTAGTTAGTAATAATAACTGATTGGGGTAGGATAGGATCAGTGAGACCACAAAGAGCAAGGGCTCTTGGAGTCTTAGTGGACAACCAATTAAATATGAACCAAAAACCAATTAAATATGAGCCAACAACCAATTAAATATGAGCCAACAATAACCCTAAAAAAGATGTTGAGACAAGAGTTCAGAGAAGAACAACAAAGATGATTAGGGGACTGGAGGTTAAAACATATGAAGAACAGTTGCAGGAACTGGGCATGGCTAGTCTAGTGAAGAGAAGGACCAGAGGAGACATGATAGCAGTGTTTCGATATTTGAGGGGCTGCCACAGAGAGAAGGTGGGTGTCAACCTGTTTTCCAAAGCATCTGAAAGCCAGACAAAGAATAATGGATGGAAACTGATCAAGGAGAGATTCAATCTAAAAATAAGGAGAAATTTTCTGACAGTGAGAACAATCAACCGATGGAACAGAAGTTGCCTTCAGAAGTTGTGGGAGCTTCATCACTTGAGACTTTCAAGAAAGAGACTGGGCTGCCATCCGTCAGAGATGGTGTAGGGTCTCCTGCTTGGGTGGGTGGTTGGACCAGTTGACCTACAAGGTCCCTTCCAACTCTATTAATTATCTGTTAATTCAATCCAGCCATCATTCTAAGTGATTTTTCCCCTTACAAAGTAGGGGAGATATAATAAGTGCTGGCTGGCTTGGATGGCTTTGGCAAGGACTTCAGAAAACCAATCAATTTCCTGTTGGTTAGGGTGCTTGAGCATCCCTATTTACATGCCTCCATCTCATGAAGAACTGAGAGAACAAATACAGTTCCTCCGTCTCTTAAGAGCCATTCATATTCACTCAGAATGCATACTAGAACGGAGTGCAGTTCTATTAGGTATTCCCTTGGCAGATTATGCCCTGCACAGAGCAAAATCTCAGGGAGAGGGAGAGAGGGATAGAGGGATAGAGAGAGAGAGAGAGATGGAGGAGGAGGAGGAGGAAGAGGAGAGGGGGAGAGAGAGAAAGAGATGGAGGAGGAGGAGGAGGAGGAGGAGGAGGAGGAGGAGGAGGGAGAGGGAAGGAAGGTAGGGTTGCCAAGTCTGCTTCCAAAAAATAGCGGACAAGCGGGGGGGGGGGGGGTTAAGTAAAAAAAAATTTAAAAAATTACAATTAAATTATATATTTTCTTACAAACATTTTAACACGTATTAAAATAATCACTTCAAAACTTTACTTAAAATTCAAAACATCAAATCTATTATAATAATATGTAAAATATTAAATTACATTTTACTTTGCTGTCGTGTGTATTTTTTATTTGACTGCGCAGCTTTGATCAATTCTTTGTGTTTAAGGAATAATTCTTTAATTTCAGTACAACGTTGAGAAATATTAAAAAATATACAATCATAAAGCTTTTGAATAAAAAAAATGTCCACTATTTTGTGAAAAAAAAAATAGTGAACATAATGTGAAAAAAGCGGACTGTCCGCTCAAATAGTGGACACCTGGCAACCTTAAGTGAGAGGGGGGGAAGGAGGGAGGGAGGGAGGGAGAGAGAGAGAGAGAGTGAGAGAGAGAAAGAGAGAGAGAGAGAGAGAGAGAGAGAGAGAGAGAGAGAGAGGGAGAGAACACACTCTGAACTCTTTCATCCAAATAATGAATGAAAGAAAGAAAGCAATTTGTCTCTTTATTATTGAAAAACTTACATGGTCAACCATATTATGTACTACAACTCCTGGCAACAATAAAAACATTTTTAAAAAAAAGATTGAGACAACCACAATAAAAACTCCTGACACCCAAGGCCAAATTCTCCCGCAGTGTTGGCCTTGATGGGCTTCAGCCTTGTCCTACCCCAACCAATGCCTCTAGGAAGGGCCGACTTTTCAGAGTCTGCTGGATCTCAGAGGGAAGGGTGTTCTATGCGATCATGTGAACGCAACAGAGCTGATCTGGTGACAATCCAGTTACTCTGAAACTATCATCACTGATCGCCAACTGTCAGGCTTTCAAGCTAGGTGAGGATGCAAGGGTTATGAAAGGTAAGACTAAGGGGTGCTATTCAGCAGGTTCTGACAGGTTCTGGAGAACCGGTAGCGGAAATTTTGAGTCGTTTGGAGAACCGGCAAATACCACCTCTGATTTGCCCCTGAGTGGGATGGGAATGGAGATTTTGCAATATGTTTCCCCCAGGAGTAGGGAGGGAATGGGGATTTGGCAATATCCTTCCCCTGGAGTGGGGTGGGAATCAGGGATGGGTTCTACTTATCTTTACTACCAGTTCACAACAGGATCGCGCATGCGCAGATCGCCGATGATATCTGGGGCAGTGGGCGGGGCCTCCAGCTACCAGTTCTTGCAAACCGGTCCAAATCGGGGGCAACCCACCACTGGTGGGAATGGAGATTTTGCAGTATCCTTCCCCTGCCACGCCCATCAAGCCATGCCCACCAAGCCATGCCATGCCACGCCCACCAAGCCACGCCCACAGAACCAGTAGTAAAAATTTTTTGAATTATTATATTATTATAAGGCTATATTACCACAATCTTGCCAGTCTAAATGAGCAGCCTCTCCTCCCTTTATCTTCCTGAGAACTGGGAAGGATTCTATCTGATATGTTTTCTCAAATCGCATATGAGAAACGTAGATTCTAAAATCTACAACAGAACGATTTCAAATCTACCAAAGAAAAGATTTCTTTTATCTGACTGTCGCCTTTGGTACAGGCCCTTCCTCCTGTCCCTCAACGTTATCCCTACGGCCCATCACACCAGCTCTTTGCATGCACACACACCCAAAAACCAGAAAGAATTTTATATTATTAAAACAAAGAATTGTTAAGAGTCCTTCTAATCAGGAGCAGCTTTTGAGAAGGACCAAATACTAAGTGACTCTCTTTCAACATTAACTAAGTAGCCAGAAAGCTCAGATTAGGCACATAGATCTTCTCCTTGGCGATCATCATCATCATCATTATTCCCCAAGTCTGCAGAGTGAAATTTAGAGAGAAGAAGGAAGAACAAGGGATGCCAGTTGGCTTCTGTTTCTTCCAAGCCAACTGGTAAATGACATTCTGGCAAGCGTCTCTGATTTGAAAAAAACGGTAAGCTTCAAAGCTAGCTGTTATTTTTTTAAAAAAAAAAAAACTAAAATCAATAATCTAATCTTCTTTTTTCCATTAACCCCACATCCAGATTTTTTGCCAGCTTCTCTCCAAACTCTAGATTCCTTCCTAATCCTGCTGCCATGCTGGCTTAGGCATCTGCCTGGTAGGCCAAGATACGCGAGCACGATATTACCCCACCGTAGCGGCTAAACATTCCCAAGATGGCTCACAACATATTTAAACATCGCCAACGCTGCAGAACGATCAAAACAAATAAAAGAAGCAACGTTGCTCCAACTCGCGGTGGTATCCTCGAGAGCCAATTAAAACCACCGAGCGGCTCGAAAAACTACTAAAAAGCCAATTAAAAGCCCAAGCAAACAGAATATTTATTTATTTTACCTGATGCCTGGTGTGTAGAAGAAGTCAGCAGCCCTAGACAGGAGGAGAGATTAAAATTTTACTGAAAGGAACACAAACTGGAGCCACCTCTGATTAAAGACCCCCCCTGGGAGGGAGGGAGCCGAATGGTAAAAAAAATTATCCCAACTGCTGTTCACTTTTTAGTTTTCCTCTTTCAACTATATTCACGTAGGAGCACCTTCCCTTTTCTCCAGGAGGTAAGAAACGGAGATCGTGAAAATTCAATTCCATTAGGCCCAGCCAGCAGGATTGATGGTAGATGAAATACATGAAGTTGGAAATGGTACAGGTACAGTAGTGGCCAAAATTGTGGAAACTTTTTGGGGAAAGTGTATTTTTGAGGTTTGATGCTAACAACACCACTTTTTTTTTTTTTTTTGGAGTTTCAAGATAATCATATTCCACTGTTGGAATGGCCTGGGAATAGCCCAGACCTTAACCCAGGGGTGAAATCCAGCAAGTTCTAACAGGTTCTGGAGAACCGGTAGCAGAAATTTTGAGCAGTTCGGAGAACCAGCAAATACCACCTCTGGCTGGCCCCAGAGTGGGGTGGGAATGGAGATTTTGCAATATCCTTCTTCCAGGAGTGTGGAGGGCATGGGGATTTGGCAGTATCCTTCCCCTGGAGTGGGGTGGGAATGGAGATTTTGCATTATCCTTCCCCTGCCACGCCCACCAAGCCACAGAACCAGTAGTAAAAAAATTTGGATTTCACCACTGCCTTAACCCAATTGAAAATCTATGGAGCCGACTAAAGAAACTTGTTAGTCAGAAGTGACCCAGTAATAAAACCCAGTTAATAGAAGCCATCATTCAATCTTGGTTTTCACGTTTGAATAGCTGCAGAACTCAAAGACTTGGTTCACTCCATGGGAAGACGTTGTAAGGCCGTCATTCATGCTAAAGGTTACCCAATGAAGTATTAACTGACATGGTGATCATTTTTGTATATCTTGCTTTTTCTACGTGTTTCACTTTTCTTCTTTATACTGCAACTGCTATTCTAATAGCAAACCCCTCATAAAAGTTATTGCATTACATTCTCGATTAAATTATCTTTCCACTGATACATAATTTAATGGTACTACTCCAAAAAAAGTGGTGTGATTAGCTAGTTTTAGAAAAATACACTTTTCCCAAAAGGTTTCTACAATTTTGGCCACCACTGTAGTCCTTGACCTACAATCATTCGTTTACTGATTGTTCAAAATTACAATAGCACTGAAAAAAATGTGATGTATGGCCCTTTTTCACACTTAATGACCGTTGCAGAATCCCCATGATCCACCTGATCAAAATTTGGATGCTTGACAATTCATGTCAGTTATTCAATTCATTCATGCCATTGACATGAATGCAATGTCCAAGCCAGTCCCAAGAAAAGGGAAGGTGCTCCTAAATGAATATAGTTGGAGGAAAACTAGAAAATGAACAGCAGTTGGGATAATAAGGGGAGCCATTGTAAGTCAAGGGCTACTTGTAACTTGTTTACTTTATCTTTTACAGAGACTGAAGCCTATGGGTACTTACTTAATGACCAAGTTCATATTTAGCAGCAAACCATGTTTTGCTTAATACTGGTATAATGATCAAACCCCAATTGGCTAGGTTCATACAACGTGCCCAACAACATTCCAATAAACCACTTTATGGATTTCTCTCCCTCCCTCCCTCCCCCCCTCTCTCTCTCTCTCTCTCTCCCTTCCTCTCTCTCTCTCTGTCTCTCTCTCTCTCTGTCTGTCTCTGTCTGTGTATCTGTCTGTCTCTCTCTGTCTCTCTCTCTCTCTATGTCTCTCTCTCTCTATGTCTGTCTCTCTGTCTCTGTCTCTGTTTCTCTGTCTCTCTCTCTCTCTCTGTCCCTCTCTCTCTCTCTCCCTCTCTCCCTCTGTGTGTGTGTGTCTATCTCTCACACATATAGATAGTTCTGGACTCACAACAATAATTTCTTCCTCTGCAAAAGAGCTGAGGAGGAAAACACCTTATTCTTTAGAGTGCCTTCAGATTTTGCTTGGTGGAAGGGTTCAGAGATGCTTCATTTGCATAATTATAACTACAATGTACAAGATGCAGTTGCCAATCAATGCAGCATGTGTGTCTGTATCTCCACACCGCTTCACCATTCTCCTTCTATCTTTTAGATAGCTCAGCTCCCCATTAGCAGGGATGAAAATAATTTCCACCAAAAATCAAAAAGGAGAAATCAATAGCATCTTATGCTGCAGACCAGCAGATATGGATTCCCAGAATGATATGCTACACAAACAAATCCGTGTAGGTCACTTGCAACTCATCTACAAGCAGCAGAATAGCACAGAAGACTAGGGTTAAGATTTTAGATGTACCGGTTTCTTGAAATAACCGACAAATGAGTCCATCTAAAAATTCCTCTTCTACGCATTCACTAAATCAATGTTTCTCACTCTTGGCAATTTCACCTCCTAAAATTCTCCCAACCAGAATTTCAAGGATGAGAAATACTACAGCAAAGGGTCCATTAATAGAGATATCAGAGGTGGAAATATAATGGATAAAACATAGCTAAAGCATACAATGGAACTTTAATGGAAATGGGTTTGTCTAATCGAACAAAGAGAAGGACTAGGTGTGACAGGATAGCGGTCTTCCACCCGCGATTTCCATTACCGGTTCAGGAAAACCGGTCTGAACCGGCTGAATACCACCTCTGATTCTGTAGCCTTGTTATTGTGTGTTTCCATACTTGGAAAGCTTGTATCTTGTCACTTTCAAATAAATGGAGAGAGCTCTTCTAAAAACATAAAAAGTTTCTGCCTACGTTAGGAAGTAACTATCACACGCACCTCAAATTCCAGCTTTGGCTCCACCCCTCCCATTGAAGTGGCTGAGTCTTTACTATAAGTATAGTAGTTTTGGAAAGAGGATGTATATTTGATTATCCATGTAATAACTGCAGCTAGGATTGTATTTGCACAAAATTGGAAAAGTGAAGAGATTCCTATGGATGTGAACGTGATTAGGAAAATATTAGAATGTGCAGAAATGAATAGGTTAACACTTGCCGTTAAAGAGAAGGAACAAACCGAATATTATATTGTATGGGAACTATTTTATCGGTCACTGATAAAACAGATCCCATGTTGAAAAGTATTCTGTTTCTTCCTTATCTTTTATTTTAGTGTCAATCTGTCCATCTCCACACAATCTAGTATTTTTTTGATTATATTTTCATCTGTAGGGGTATCCTCATTTTTCCAATATTGTGCAAATACAATTCTTGCTGCTGTCAACACATGTAATATTGTATTGTAATGCTCTCTACATGGGGCTCCCCTTGAGGAGCACCCGGAGGCTCCAACTGGCGCAGAGTGCGGCCGTGCGGGTGGTAATGGGAGCGTCATGGCGCTCCCATGTGACACCTCTCCTGCGTGAGCTGCACTGGCTCCCGGTGGTCTTCCGGGTGTGCTTCAAGGTTTTGGTTACCACCTTTAAAGCGCTCTATGGCTTAGGACCTGGTTATCTACGGGACCGCCTACTACCACCAATAGTCTCCCACCGGCCAGTACGCTTTCATAGAGAGGGACTCCTCCGGGTGCCGTCAGCCAAACAATGTCAGCTGGCGACCCCTAGGGGGAGAGCCTTCTCTGTGGGGGCACCTACCATCTGGAATGAGCTCCCCCCAGAGATACAGAGGATCCCGGATCTGCGCACCTTCCGCCGCGCTGTGAAGACTCTTTTATTCCATCAAGCAGGCTTGGCCTAATCGCCTCCCTCTTTTAATATATAAATTTTAAATCTGTTCTTAAATTATTGGGGTGTTTTAATTTGTCTGGGCCAAAATGATTTAATTTGATTTTAACTGGTTTTTTAAATTTTTGTATTTATGTATTTTATTGCTTGGCTGTTCACCGCCCTGAGTCCTTCGGGAGTAGGGCGGTATACAAATCAAATAAAACATAAACAAACATAAACATAAACATAATATGTTAAAATTATTGTAATTTTCTGGTATTATACCTAACAAAAATATTTCTGACTGCTATCTTCAGAAAGCATTGCTTGATCTATTTCTTAAGATCATTTCAAGAATCGGTGCTCGGTTCTATATCAAATAAATCCTAAACACTCTATAAAAGCCATCCAGTTGATCTTCTGTGGGGAAAAAATATAATACTTTTTTCCCCCAGAGAGACATCAATCTTCTTCTAGAATTGATATGATTTGGATTATTAAAAAAAAAATTGCTTCACAAAACAATTAAAGCCAATATTCTTCCAAAATCTTTTTCTGATCATAATCCAATATTCTTACCTCTTTGTTTCTTAAATGGAGACTATTAAATGGAGATTGAATGAGTCTCTTTTGCAGAGAGCACAGATTATTAAAGAATGTAACCACATACTCTGAGATTATTTTAACCATAATCTGGGTAAAAGAACCAATTTGACAAGAGTTTTGGGATTCTGGTAAAGTTAAAAAATGTAAACAAGGCCTCCAAGATTATTTTAACCATAATCTGGGTAAGAGAACCAATTTGAGAAGAGATTGGGACTCTTATAAAGTTAAAAAATATAAACCAGGACTCCAAGATTATTTTAATCATAATCTGGGCAAAAGAACCAATTTGACAAGAGTTTGGGTCTCTTGTAAAGCCATGATACGAGGATATTTCATACAATATAACATAATAATCAAGGAGAACATGGATGGAAACATCCCAAAAGTGTTACAAGAAATTAAACTAAAGGAAAGAGATCTTGAGAAATCACCAGAAGATCTTAACCAACTAAAAGCATTGCAACAACAAATCTGTGTGTTGCCTGTTTCAGATATAGAAAAGAAATAGAAATATATAAAAGCAATCCAGCTGAGATTTTCAAGGTTATTCAATGTAGGATGACCTGGTCTGTTTGAGCAGGCAGACGAGGTCCTGTAGAAATCAAGTTCTCTGAACCTCCATAAATGTGAAAATCAGAGAGGCTAAGTACATTGGAGGCTTTCCTTGATGGTTGATTAATTCAGAATATTTCTTGCAT